TTTTTTACTTCAGTCTTCACACATAGGGACAGCTATCAGATAAATGAGCAGAGTTAGGGAAGGAGTCAAACCACCTAAAGTAGTGGCAGAATAGGTTAGGGGTTACTTAGAGAAGCTAGATGCTTTCACATCAGCAGGGCTGGATAGGATGCACTCTAAGGTACTGAAGGAATTGGCTGAGGTTATTTCAGAGCCATTAGCTATCCTTTCTGAGAACTCATGGAGTTTGGGTGAGGCCCCAGTCCTGAAAAGGCAAACAGTGTCCTTCCCATCTTTAAGAAAGGGAAGAAGGAGGATATGGGGAATTACAGACCAGTCAGTCTGACCTTGATACCTGAAAAGAAAATGAAGCAAGTCCTCAAGAAGCACCTGGAGGAGAATAAGTTGATCAGGAACAGCCGGCATGGATTCACCAAGAGCAAGTCATGTCTGATCAAACTTATTTCCTTCTGCATATGGAGACAGGTTCTGTGGATGGAGTGAGAGCAGTGGATGTGATATACCGACTTCAGCAAGGCTTTGGACACTCTTCCCTGCAACTGTCTCATTAACAAGCTAAGGAAATACAGATTAGCTGAAAGTACTTTAAGTTCTATACATAACTGGTTGGATCATCGAGCTTAACAAGTAGTCATCAATAGCTCAATAGCTAGTTGAGAGGAGGCATCAAGTGGGGTTTCCCAGAGGTCTTTTCTGGGTCTGGTATTGTTTAATATCCTCATTAATGATTTGGACAATTTGTGGATGGCACCAAATAGGCTGGAGTTGCAGACACTCTAGAAGGTATCGGAATGATCTGGATAGACTGGTAAATTATTCAGATGAAATTCAGTAAGAACAAGAATAAGTACATAGTTCTGCACTTGGGATGGCATAATTTTATGCACAAATACAGACATGAGCGACTGATGCATACTGTGTCCAGTTTTGGGCCTCACCCCTCAAGAAGGATGTAGACAGATGAGAAAGAGTCCAGTGGAGAGTGTTTAGAGATAGAGACCTGAGACAAACGAGTTTTGAGGAAAGGCAGAGGCTTATTTAGTCTGGAGAAGCAAAGAGCAAGGGGTGGGGGAGGGTGTTGACAACAGCCTTCAAATACCTGAAGGGCAATTAGGCAGACAAGGTTCTTTGGGTAAATCTGATATCTTTTAGACCAACTCAAATAGTTGGAAAAAATCTTCTTTGCAAACTTTCAGGTACAAATACCCTTTGTCAGGCTGAAAAGCATCTGCAGCTGGTGTGCGCTCTTCCTGGATGGAATGAATACTAAAGAAGCCAGAGGCTGGTATGCAATTATAGAGAGGAAAGGCTGAAGGATCTAGGGCTATTTAGTCTGGAGAAGACTGAGGGAGGATTTTATAACTGTCTTAGTCTTCAGATAACTGAAGAGTGATTATAGAGAGGATGGGGGTGGGCTTTTCTCTGTGGTCACTGAGCACAAGACTAGAGGTAATGTTCTCAAGCTTCAGCAGAGGAAATTGAAATTTGAGGTTAGGAGCTTTCTGACTCTGAGGGTGTTCAGACATAGGACCAGGCTCCCTAGAGAAGTTAAGGAATCTCCATCCCTGGACATTTTCAAGATCAGGCTAGCCAGATACTTGGTTGGGATGGGTTAGTCAGGGACAAACCCATCTTGAGCAGGAGACTAGACTAGATGGCCAACACTACTTTCCTATGATCCTATTTTTTAAAGAGAAGATTATGCAATCAAAAAGAAACAAAAAAGGAAATCAACTATCTGATCTGAGGGACATATCATTGGGTGATGTGGCCATAGCTCCACTGATGTCAATGATGGCAAGAACTTACAACCAGATGATTTAACATAAGGAAGAAGGGCAAACATTTTTAACAGTGCAGGTTATTAATTATTGGAACAAACTACCAAGGGAGACAGTAGATTCCCCATTTCTTGATGCCTTCAGATCAAGTCTAGAGGCTTTTCTCCAATATATGCATTTGTCAACTACAAGATATTGGGTCTAGTGGCCTGTATTATCTAGGATGTCAAACTAGACAACCTAATGGTCCTCTCTACATAGCTAGGAACACAGCTATAATGAATTAATATTAGATGATTATCTTTCCTATTTTCTAAAGCTAAAGCAGGAGCCAGATATTTTAGAGATTAACAGAAATAGGACCTCATTTTTAGGTCCTAGATATGATAAAACTTCTCTTTTTTTTTAACTTAAAAGAACTTAGGCATACCATTTTATTATTTTTAACACTATTCTCTTTGGAAGCACTTTTCTTCTGCAGTCTTTTCAATGGCACTTTTTAAAGCCAGTTATTTTATCTATAAGGCACTTACTGTGAAATAATAATGATAGTAATATAAAAACAGCTAACATTTACTGGGACCCTCAGAGTCAATCACACACTTCAAAATGTTCCTATAATTGCAGCAATCAGTTAAAATAAATCCAATAGATATTAAGACTCTAGAAGACAAAGACAACTCTTTCTATGTGTTGTGGATTTGAAATGATTGGTGTATTAGATCCAGTTGATCTATTAATCTGTAAAAAACACAGTGTTTAAAAAGAGCATGAAAGGAATAACCAACTAAAAACATTCAGACATCAATGCCCAAAATGCTGACTTTTCAGAAGTGTGTAGTAAAAATGTGTTTGTCTAGGTTTCCTTTCTCATAATATCAGTACTAAGGATTGTCAAACATTTTAAATCAAAAGTGGCGTAGGCAAAAAAATAGGGTTTCAATTAAATCATATTTTTTGGGGAAAATCTACTTTGTGCTGATATTTATTATTCTTTATCAAAAAGCAAACAAAACAAAACAAAACCCCAAATACCTGAAATTTAAAAAATTTCATCCAAAAAAAAAAAAAAAAAAATATTTGTTTTGTTCTTTTGTGCAGCACCACAAACCGCACGCATTCCACATTAAACCACGCACAGTGCTGCTAATTTGCAGTGCCAAGGCAAAATTTGGTAGTGGGATTTCCCAGTAGTAAAATAAAACCCAGAAGAAAAAAGCAACACAAAGCACACCAAAGTGGTGTGCACCAAGACAAAGCAGAGACGAGGGAGCAGGCAGCCCAAGGCTGACTGGTACCACCTCTCTGTACAGCGTGGAACTTCTGCATTCAGGCACCCTGTGCCCCAGCCAGCCGCTCCCTGTCTGGCTGGGGTGCAGTGTGCCTCAACATGGGGGTGCAGGCAGCCTTAGGCTGCCTGCTTCCCCGTCTTGAGGCATACTGTGCCCCAGCCAGCTGCTCTGCGGTAGCCCCCATACTGAGGCACATGAAGATAGGGGAGCAGCCAGCCCAGGGTTGCCTTCTTCCCTGTCTCGAGGCATATTGTGCCCCAAGCAGCCAGGGGTTGGATGGCCGGGGCACAGCATGCTCCACAGGGCGCAGAGACAGGGGAGCAGACAGCTCTGGCCTGCCTGCTCTCCCCATCTCTATGTGCCACTCCCCAGCTGACTGGGGCACAGTGTGCCTCAGCACAGGGGCTGCCTGCTGGCTAGCCCCACACTGAGGCACTCTGTGCCCCAGCCAGCCCCCTCTGCAGCACATGGAGCAGAGGAACAATTTGTCCTGCTACAAAGTGCACGGGCAGGTGCATGCACTGTGGCACAAAGCAGTGGCACAAATTCATGCTGCTGCTATTTGTGCTGTTGCAAATGCATGCCCCTGATCATGTGGATGCAGCCAAAGTGACTTTTTAGATAAAGTATTGCAGTATTTCATGGAACTTGGCTGTCTCATGCTCAGTACTCAATTCTGCACACCCCAGCTATAGAAACCAGCAAAGCTAAACACCCTCCCCTGTCCAAGAAAAGGTAGTTCATCATGGGAGATTTAGTCAAACCAGAGGAAGTTGGAAACTCACGGTAACCAAATCTGTATTTCTCGTGAACCATTTCTGAACTATACTCTATTGACTTTTCACATTTCAGCTGTTTGCTTGATTGTTTTTTCCCTTAAAATGGTTTGGTATTTGAAAAATCTACCCCACCCCCAACCTCCCAAAAAACCCTGTGTTTTCTACAGAAAACAACCTTCATTTCCTGAGCAGGTCTAGCAAGTACATTTTTCCACATGCAATTCAGACAATGTGTAAAGCATCACTAGAGGGAAACAGGAGGGAAACAGGCAAAAGGGACTATCTACCAGTAAAAAATGTTTTTTGTTACATGGTTCTGGTTAAGTCATCTGTCCTGAAAACTATTTCCACTACCATAAGTTATGATTTGCCTTTGAAAACAAGAAATCTACATTATAGGAAAAACAATATAACCAGAAACACAGAGTAATAGTGAAAGAACATGAAAGAGAGAGAAAGAGACAGGGAGGACCCATAAAGATGCCACTGCAAAGCACTGAAGTACAGAGTTGCACACACATACATGTGAGAATATTCTTATTTCATATTGTGCATGGATATGGATTAAAGACTAGACATTCTGTAACAATAAGATTCTTGGCACTAAGCACGTGCAATAAAAACTTACATATCAGTGTCCCATTCATTCCCAGTTTAGACCAGATGTCCTTACTTCCACATCCCCATAATGAATCAATCAAGTCAACAAGTCTGAAGACTAGTTGGGCAGGGAAAAACAGAACCACTGCAGTGGAGTTAGGAATAGGCAGGAGAAGATGTATGTTTTTGGTCACCTCACTAGCCTGTGGTGCCAGAACCAAAAGAAGTATTAGAGGCTGAGTAGGGAAAAGCAGCAATGTGTGACAGCAAAAGTGGCACGGTCCATCAGCAGGCCTATATTAGGGGTAACAGCATTTTGGCAGCAGGAGGTGGGGATCATAAATTAACAGGTCTCTGTAATGACTGAGAAATATCAACAAAGTTAATATTCAGGAAAGACTCATTTTGACATTTAGAAACATCTGATTTACACTGCAACTTCTCATAAATGCGAAGAAAATTCTCTTGCATCACTGGGTGAATTCTACTTGACCTAACATACTTCTACGTACTAGTGGCTAGCTGGGAACACACAGCAATAAGGTTACCTTAATAGGGCTCCCATCTGGAGTAAGAACCTCTTCTGAAAGTTCCATCATCTTCAGAGCCATCAGGGCAATGGCTTTAGCATGGCTAAGGCTCTTTTTATGGAGCCCTGCTGCGACACAGTACGCATCACCTATTGTTTCCACCTGCAGTAATCAGACAAATCAAATGTAAAAGTATGATAATGAGCAGAAATCTGTACCATTAGTTATCTGCAATCAAAAAATGTTGCTTAAAAACATGTCAGCAAAACATCCATAAAATAAGCAATTAGAAAATGGAGTATAATTACGCGAGTTTGTAAACAGGCACAGTCAAAACCTGACATCTCATTGCATAGTTGTTTATCATCATTATAACTGGAGAAGATCATTAAACCTAGGACAGTGTACATTACCAAACTGAAAATGATAACATTATCCCACAGGAGAATCGGATTTTCTCTATTAGAACTAGACCAGAAACTATTTACAGCTAAGAACTGGTGCCACCGTATGTCATTCTGTTGTTTAGTGAGAGCTGTGCTACACATTTATGATGCATAATAATTATTTTCTCTATTATAAAAGTACATTAGAATGTGAGTTACAGGAGGATAAATGTTTCCATAAAAATGCATAGCTCATCACTCCTCATAAGTATATCACTCGTCTTTAGCCTGGGAAAATTCAAGATGGAACACTGCATTGCTTAGTTTTAATTTTTGTTTCAGACACTCTTATAGACTGCTGGCTCTTACCTGCCTTTCTTTCTGAGATCCTAAGAAGATATGGAAGGAACAGAAGCAACCCAGCTGAAACTTCTCTGGTGTTTTAACAGGAAATTCAGGCTCTCTCTACTGCACAAGCTACCTGAGCATAAGCACCTCAGAGCAATAAGTTCAGCAGACTGCTTCCTCTGCTCTCTTCCAATCATTTATGCTTGCTTTTCTTCATAGGCTAGTTACAGATGTTACACATAATCCAGACTAAGTGCTAAGAAATCCAACCAAACCCATAACTGTACAGAAGTCCATGGCACATAGACAGGACTAAAAATGGAACCTGGAATAGAATCACAGGATCACAGAAATTATGGGCTGGAAGGGACCTTGAAAGATCATCTAGTCCAGGGATGGGCAAAATGCAGCCCACCAGGCCATTCTATCTGGCCTACGAGGCCCCTAAAAAATTTAGAAAATTAATATTTATCTGCCCCTGGCTGCCTGTCATGAGGCCCTCAATGGCTTGCCAAAATTCAGTAAGCAGCCCTCCGCCCAAAATAATTGCTCACTCCTGATCTAGTCCAACCCCTCCTGCTCTGGACACGAATACTGCTGAGGTCAACTGATCCCAGCAAGGTGTCTGTCCAGTCTCCTCTTGAGGACTTCCAAGGTTGGAGACTACACCACCTCCTTGAGAAGTCTATTCTAGATTCTGGTCACCCTCATCATAAATAAGTTTTTCCTTACATCCAAGCTGAAATCATCCTCTAACAGTGTATGGCCATTGCTCCTTGTCCTCCCCTGGGGTGCCCTAGTGAACAGTTTTTCTACCAGCTCCCCATATTCACCCCTTACAGACTTATAGATAGCCACCAGGTCCCCCCCATCAGTCTTCTCTTCCCCAGACTGGACAGTCCCAGATCCCTTAGTCTTTCCCCATAAGGTTTGTCCTCCAGGCCCTTAATCATTCTCATGGCCCTTCTCTGGACCCTTTCAAAATTCTCCATGTCTGTTTTTGAAGCGCGGCACCCAGAAGAACTGGACACAGTACTCCAGCTGGGGTCTCACCAGCGCTGAGTAGAGAGGAAGTATCACTTCCTCAGCCCTCTTCATGATGCATCAGCTAATTCCAGTATGCTATTAGCTCTGTTGACTAATAGCACTGGTGGCTCATGTTCATCCTGTAATCAACCATAACCCTGAGGCCCCTTGCAGCCATCATGCTGGCCAAGACATTTCCTAACCTATATTCATGTTGCTGGTTACTTCTCCCCAGTCCTGAATCTGTGTGTATTCAAATGTATGTGAATAAAGTTAGTCCCATGCAATGAACCTCTGTACTACATCCCTTATCGAATCAAGTCAGGTCACAGACCGCTGGCATCCCAGGCTCATTTGCAGGAACCCACTAGCCCTGCACTTCACTGCTTCAGACAAGCACCTAGCCAGCCCTGTCCCCAGGCTGTCACAGAGTTGAGTCAGCAAAGCCTCTGTCCCCAGCCCCATCTCTTGTCTCCAGCCACCTGTCAGCCCCAGGCAAGAGAGAGGTGGGGGTAAGTGGGACTTTCAAGCTGCCAGGGGAGGCAGTGCCAGTGATGCATCTTGTATTCCCCAGCCTAGTTCCATTCCAGCCGTGAGACCAGTGCACTGGATCAGCTCTGGGAAGGGCTCAAAGGATTTACCCCCCTAGAGCCAGCACCAAATTCCCAGCTGAAGCCCCTTCCTCTGCAGCCGTGGGGCTCTGGTCCCTGTTGAGGGAGAAGGAGTGGGGGCATCCATGGTCATTTCCAGTGTGGGAGCTGAGCAAGTCCCCAACTCAAGTGCCAACTCCTTCTGGCTGGGCTGACTCGGCTTAGATGGGTCCATTTCTAGCATTATGTCATCAACAGCCTCACCACCTCCCCTCCTTTGACCTTGGAATCAATGGAACAAGAGACAAAACCCCAGCTGGGGCCAGGTGAGTGCTGCTCCCCACCAGCCACAGGTTCTGGGCAGCTGTTTTCCCCCTCCTGTTCTGCTCCTGGAGATGCTGTGGTGCATCTTGGGAGTCCCCAATTCCCTGCAGCATGTGGTGGCTGCCTAGAGAGTCCTAGAGAGTCATCTGGGGAGCGTGAAATAAGTGTGTGTGAGCATGCATGAGCCAGAGCCTTTCCTGGTGTCTTTTGCTGGCCCCTGGCACTGCAGCCTGGCTCTGCCCTCTAGACGTACCTGGCTGGGCACAGCTGCAGATCTACCTTTGTTTCTGCCAACCCACCCTCCCCAACCTCTCCCCTCCACATGTCTATGGCACCACTCTCTCTCAGCAGCTGCCAGCTTGCTCCCCACCAAGTGTCACAGCCGCAAGGGCGTGGCTGCCCCTCCCTCCACCTTCCCCAGGTACTGGAGTCCTACCACTGCAGGGGAAGGGGCTTCAGCTGAGAACTATGAATCTATGAAACTTGGCACTGGCTCTGGGAGTAGGGAGAAATTCTCCAAGCCCTTCCCAGAGCTAATCCAGCACATGGGTCCTGGGGCAGGGACAGAACTTGGACAGGGGAGGGACACTGTGTCCCGCTGACCCACAGCAAGACTGTGGGTGTGTTGCTGGCACCACCTTCTCCACAGCAGCTTGCGAGCCCCTCTCCCCCTCCATCTCTGTCCTGCCTGGGGTGGAGCTCCACACCCCCACCCCAGACAAAGCCCAGGGATCCCATTCCACCATGAATGGGGGTAGCCCCATGGAGCTGGAGTCCGACCTGGCTGCAGGGCAAGCATGCCTCCCTCCACTAGCTGCCTGCATCTGGCAGATGTCTGCGGCTGACAGATGATGTGGCAGTGGAGGGAGACAAGCTCAACAGACAGTCAATCAGTTGTGGCCCTACCACTCGGCTGCACTCAACAGTGTCCATCAGCCTGGGGAGACCACTGGGAGGCATGCAGGGGTGTACCCACTCTGCTGACCTCAGCCAGTTAAGGTAGCCTTCATGCCCCCCCACCACCAAAGGGCAAATGTGTGCTCTGTTTGCTCCCGAGCTAACCTAGGGTGCTTGGACTAAATCATATAACTTACATCGATTCCACCTTAGGCTTTTTGAATGTCTGTACCTAGAACTAGGAAGCCGTCTCTCCAGAGCAAGGGAAAGTAGCCATAAGTAAGGGAACCTTCTGGCTCTGGATAAAAGGCAGCCTAGGGTACCATGAACAAGCCCTACAGTTCTCCAGCTTTACTGATAGCACTGCAAAGTCTGTCTACACCCATGTCCAGCACAGCTTCTCTGAACAAATTCCTCACTGCACTGTGAAGAAAGCTTGGCCTTCAGGCACTAAAGTAGATTTCAACATTTATCTGCTCCTTCCCATCATACATCACAACCACAAGAATGATAGTAAATCCTTCTGCCAAGATCAGTGTAACAAGAACAAAGAGAGAACTGACTGTGGAGCTACCGTGAGGGCAGACAGCTGGTGTTTCTCTCCACAGGGCCTTTGCCCTTATTCGTAGATGTCCATGGGTGAGCAATCATGCTATTTTATTAGATTAACTGTTAATGTATTTCCATCATAAAAAAGATCATGGAGAGTGGGATGTGGGGAGGGGACACTACAAGCCAAATCTAAAAGAGTATTTAGGCACTTAACTCCTACATGGTTTCAACAGGAGTTAGGTATCCAATTACCTTTTTCAGTATGATTCCACATTTTAAAATTATCCAGAGCACAGACCTAGAGTGCCCATATGGATTTAAACTCTGCAGAGATTGGTAGAGCCTAGGTCAGGGACAGGCAAAGTCCAGCCTGCAGGCCAAATCAGGCTCACAGTAGACTCCATTTCCCAGCAGCCCCTGCCCATGTGGCTGAAAGCTGGTTTCCATGGAGACCCATGGAACAGCAGAGCCATGACAGCGCAGGTCCAGGGTTTCCATGGAGACCAGCCCCAGCAGCACTGTCAGGGTGTGTAGCAGGGTGGGGAGCTGCTCCAGGGCCAGGATCTTGTGGTCCAGAGCTAGGGCAGAGCTGCGATCTGCTGCCTGCACACCCCTGCCCAGGGCATGCGGGTAGTAGAACAGAGTTCTGCCAAAGCTCTGGACCATACTGTCACCAATGCAGGATCTCAACCCCAGAGTAGCTCCCCACCCAGCCATGTGCCCTGCCAGCACTGCTGGGGCTGGTCTCCATGGAAACCATGGCGCCATGCTGTCATGGCTCCACTGCTCCTGACCTCTCCATGGAAAGTGGCTGCAGTGATGTGGGCAGGGGATGCTGGGAAATGGAGTCTGGCCACCAGCCGGATCCACCATTTTGCCCACCCCAGCCTAGGTGGTGCTGCAGGAGTTGCTGCTGTGGTTGCCAAGGCTGACTCCTCTCTCTTCTCAGGTTTTACTATAGGACGATAAGAGGTAAGGACAGTGCCATGGCTTAAAACACAAATTCTGGATGGATGAGAAGAGAGAGTCATATGAGAGC